ATATACATATTAACGATGACAACATCTATATTACCAGAAAAATATATTCGTTATGAACCACCAAAACAAGGTCTTGAACGAAAACGATCTTGTACAGGTTAGAAAAAAAAACTAGATCTTTTTAAGTAAATAATAAATAGGTGACTTTTTACTATTTCAGATATGCCATGTTGTTTTATTTTCCTTATATTTATTTTCTGCTTTATTGTTTTAAGTATTTTTGCTTTTAAAGAAGGTATATAAAGATATATATTTGAATGTTTTATATAAAAATTGATTTGAAACTTATTAGGTGATCCAAAACAACTTCTTCACCCAACAGATAGTCAAGGAAATCTTTGTGGTTCAGGCAATTTCTTAGATCGACCATATTCATATTTTTTTGATTGGACACAATGTATTAAAATATTGAATTTAGGTGCAAATATATTAAAAGGTCGTCCATTTGTTTGTCCAACAACACAAGTTTGTGTTCAACAATGTCCAAATATAACAACTTATTATAAATTTGGAAATTATTATAACAATCGTATATGTACGTATGATGTTAATGCAACAGATCATGACAATCAACAATTAGTTGAAACTGGCAAATGTGCATCATATATCATAGCTAGTAAACCACTTTTTGGTCGATGTGTTCCATCGGAAATTGAAAGTCTAACAAATACTATCATTCAAGTTTGTATAATATTTAAATTTTGATGAAAGAAATATTTTTGTTTTTTTTCTTTTTCTAGGCACCAGATGCGAATGGTATCAATCAAACAGTATTTGATTCAAAAGGACAACCATTGAATAGTACAAAACTTGAACAAGTAATTATCGTTCGAAAAAAGTTCTTTGTTATTTTTTAATATTGAATATTTTTAGGGTGTGAATTATTTAATTGATTTATTGAATTTGAAACAAGTTGGAGCATTTCTTGTTGAAGATTTAACAATAGCATGGAAATATATTTTAGCTGCTTTAGCTTTTGCTGCAATTATATCGGTATAATTAAATGATATATTTTTTCCTTTAATTGATAAATTAAAAATAAAAAATCTTTTAGTTTGTATGGATTGTGTTAATGCGTTGGCTTGCTAAACCCATTGTTTGGCTTGGTATACTTCTATTTATTTTTATATTAGGAGTTCTTACTGGTTTAGCATTTTATGAATTTAATCAACTTCGTATAAAAAATGATAATCAAATATATACAGGATTTAAATTTGTTCTTGATGCAAATTATTATCGAAATTTACCAATAACATGGTTAGTTATTGGATGTATATTAGCTATTCTTTTAATTATATCAATTCTCGTATTTTTGGCATTAATGAAACGTTTAAGAATTGCTTTAGCTATACTTAAAGAAGCATCAAAAGCTGTTGGTTATAATATTTTTAGTCTATTTTGGCCATTAATTCCATTTTTATTACAAATTGGAATATTTGCTTATTGGTCTGTTGTCGCTATTTGTTTAGCTACAGCAGGAAAACCTATTTATCGCATAGCATATAATGAAACAATAGCAAATACAACGAATGTACAATTAGGTGATATATGTGATCCAAATAAATGGAATAATAGTAATACATCAAATAGTGCATGTGTTTTTTGGGAATATGGATATGATCCACAAGTGGATTTAGATAGTATACTCAACGGTATAATTAATTTTATAGTATATAAAGACGTGTGTGTGTTTTTTATTTCTTTTGTTTTATATTAGGTACTGGTTATCATTTTAAATCATTTATAATTTTTGTTAATCAACATCAATGGATTCCACAAATTTTCTCTGCTTTTATGTTATTTTGGTTAACAGCTTTCGTTATTGGATTTAGTCAATTAGTTCTTGGTAAAGTTTTTTTTTGTGAAGCACGATTTAAAAGGATTGTTGAAATGTTAAAGGGCAGACACTTGCACCCACCGTCCCCTCCCCCCCCCCCTGCTACAGACGTGATCGATAAGGAATCATAGACGTGACCGACAGGGTATCATTCATTTCACATAAAATTGATTTTATAAAAACCTATTTCTTCTCCGCTCATTCCGATCTACATGTCAGTTTAATTATATTTAACAATAAAAATTTTGAATTCATATTTTAGCCGGTATATATGCACGTTATTATTGGGAACGTGAACGATTTGGTGTTCCATGTTCATCATTAGGTGCCTCTCTTTTTCGTGCACTTGTATTTCATCTTGGTACAATAGCATTTGGTTCATTAATCATCGCAATTGTTAAAGTTATTCGTGGTATATTAGAATATTTCGAAGAAAAAGTGAAAGATAAAACAGGCAATATTGCTCGATGTTTATTCTGTTGTTGTCAATGTTGTTTATTTTGTTTGGAAAAATTTTTAAAATTTCTTAATCGTAATGCTTATATTATTACTGCTATATATGGTACAAGATTTTTTACATCTGCAAGACGTGCTTTTCATTTAATTGTTTCAAATCCACTTCGTTTACTTGTTATTGATAAAGTATGTGATTTTTTAATATTTCTTGGTAAATTATCTATAACAGCTGGTATGGGTATTCTTGCTTTTTTCTTTTTTACACATCGAATTGCGCAAGCAGAAAAATTTGTACCAGAATTACATTATTATATTGTACCACTACTATTAATTGTTATTGGTACATATATTATTACAACATGTTTCTTTTCGGTTTATGCAATGGCTGTTGATACACTATTCATTTGTGCAATACAAGATATACAATTACACGACAGTAATGCCGATCATCAATTAATGATGCCAAAAGGATTGAAAAAAGTATTTCAAGTTAAAGACAAATAAATTAATTAATTTCATTGTTACAAATGAAAAAGAGAGTTTCTTTATGTAATGCCGTCCAAAGTAGATAAAATTTATATCTTAAATATTTGTATGTTTCTATGAGTTTGTTATTCTTATTTCTTTTTTTTATGTATATGATTTAATGGCGGCAATAAATATTTTCATTTTCATGCATTGCTTTATTTTCTTCATGTCAATATTTATTGTAAATAGAAGAGTTAATAAATAGTATTCTATAATTGATTGATCGTACTTAATATTAGGACTATATTCATATTGTATGAATTTCTTCATCATAATACTATAGTTCGTTTATTTCTTAATTTTTCAATTACAATGAACTATATTTTTTTTACAAGAATATTTTTCCAATCAAATGGTACATCGAGATTACAAGCTTGTACTTGTTCACTAATATCTGGACCCAACGGTGATCGACCTTCGGGAACAAGAGTATCAGGCATTTTTGTTAATACGTTTAGATTCTGTCGATATCGTTCAATACCATTCCTTTGAGATTAGAAAAATTATTTATTGATGTATAGAATTAAAATTAATATTTCATACCAAGCAATCATAACACCATTGTCAGTACATAACTGTGGTGGTGGACACACAAGTTCAACTCCATAATGTGCACAAAGTTCACTGATACGTTGCCGAAGATATAAATTACTTGATACACCACCAGAAAGTACCTAATAAAGATAGACTACAATAAATTTTTCAGGAGAATTCTTATCTTTTAACATACAAGTGTTCGTTTCCATTGTGGTTTTTGAACAGCATCACAGAATAATATTGCTCGATGTACACGTGTTTCTATATGTCTAACAATACTTGATTGAATACATGCAGCAAAATCTTTCAGTTTTTGTTCATCGATATTTGATGAGCCTGAATATATGAGAAGTATTATAACTATATTAATAAGAGGAAAGATAACATACCACAATAAATATCTTCCTTATCAATGATTCGATTAATATGTGACAACATACCACCAAAACTGAATGAACAATCTTTCATTTTAGCTGAATATTTAGATGTTATTAATTGATATCGTTTTTCATCACCATCACGAGCTAAATATCCAATAGCTGCTCCTCCTGCCATATCTTGAACAAGTGAATGTTGTTCTAGTTTCATTGCACGTGCACTCTATATTGAAAATATAAATCATTTTCCATATTGAACTAAAACATATATATCCTTCTAACTTTATCAAATGCTTCTCCAGGTGCAATATCTTTCGTTTCACCAAGTCGATAAAATTTATCAACATCTTCTACAATACCCAAAATACAATGACCACCACTAGCCAATAAAACCATATATGGAAATGAAACACTTCAAATTCAACATTTATATTGAATTGAATTGAATTGAAAACAAAACAATGACTTACTCATGTGTCAAACGAACAGTAAGTGCATGTGCTTCCATATGATGAATAGGAATAAATGACAGATGCGTATATTTTTGAAGAAGTTGACGTGTAAAATTTATTCCTTGCCATA